TTTTTTTTTTTTGCTTAACCAGGGATTAAGCTTAGGCCCTTGCACTTGCCAGGGAAGCGCTTATTCCACTGAGCCATCTCTCCGGCCCCTATTCTGTTCTTTCTGAGGCAGGGTCTTGCTATGCAGTTCGGGCTGGCCTTGAGCTCAGTTTGTAGCCCAGCCTGGTTTCCAACTTGCAAGGATCCTCCTGCCTGAGCCTCTTAGGTGCTGGGATTGCACGCCTGTGCTACCACACCCAGCCTTGGTTTGTTTTTTGTTGCCGTTGTTTTGATTTTTCTTTCCTTTTTTTTTTAGGTGAGGAAATAAGTGTCTTCTCTGAGGTGGAAGAAACACCTGTAATCTGATGATTCACCCTGCAATGGTGAGCAGAGGTTGCCAAGGATAAACCACTTCACTGGGACGCGGAGCGGGTGACAGTGCCCAGGTCAGGGCCCCCAGCTCGGCAGGATAGCGCAAGCTGGGCACATGCCGGAGGCAGGCAGTGCAGCTGGCTGGGCTGCGGGCTGCGGGCTGCGGAGGCACTGGGCTCAGCCCCAGACACGGCCCCTGGGGTGATACTCAGTGTATCTGCCTGAGTGTACCCGGAGTGAAACAAATTTTCACGGTCGCCTTGCTCCGAATCCTGTCCCCAGAATCCTGTTCCCACAGCAGCTTCCTAGGGCCACCAGTGACTTTAGGGGAACTCCCCTGAAGCAGGGTCTTGGGGACAAGTGAGGTGTGGGCGCGGGACCCAAGGGGAGCAGGGGAGGAGAAACTTCCACCGAGGAGGTGCTGCCAGATGGGGTCCCCACGCCCAGCCCAAGCTGCTGTTCTTCCCTGCCAGGGTCACAGCAGACACCTCAACAGCATCCGCCTCCACCAGGCCCTCAAAACCCCTTTACTTTCATTACTTTTCCCCTTAGCAATTATCTGCACCTGGTAACATTTGATAGTTTCCTTTGTATCTTTTTAATTTTTTATTGTTTATTTTTTGTGACAGGGTCTCCTATGCAATACAGGTTGGCCTTGAGCTCACTTTGTAGCCCAGGCCGGTCTCAAACACTCAAAGATTGTCCTGCCTCAGCCTCCCGAGTGCTGGGATACAGGTCTGCAACACCACGCCAAGCTCCTTTATCTTCATTACCTAATGCTACTTCAGAAACTGTGGAGGCTTCAAACAGTGCCTAGAGGAACTCAAGTCCTATTGGTGGAATAAGTGCATTAAGGTACATGTATGCATGCTAATGTAATTACAGTATACCACACACATAAGTGTTAGCATCAGCCTGGCTCCTTAACTCAGGTCTCTGGTGTCAGATACTCAGGAGGCTGACGTGGGATGGTCACAAGTTTGAGATCAGTTGGGCAATTTAGTGAGATTCTGTATCAAAATTAAAGATAAAAAGTCCTGAGGGATCAGTGGTAGGATGCCCTGGGGTCAATCCCAGTGCCATATACAAATGCGGTGCTTTCTTTTTTCGCGGAACCGGGGATTGAACTCAGACCCTTGGGCTTGTTTGTGCTTGCTAGGTAAGCACTTATTCTACTGAGCCATCTCCCTGGCCCCTGCCATATACAAATGAATAAATAAAATTTAAAAATGAATAAATATAAACAGTAATAACTTTCTAATTTTATTTAGCGAGTTCAAATCAGATGCAATAATCCAGATCTGCATACACTGAAGACAATGCAAAATTAAGGTGTATACGATGGTAAAGATAATTCCTACAATGAAAATCTTAAAGGCAAAACTAAACTTCTTACAGTGATCTCAGTCTGAATTTAGCAAGTAGAAAATTAAGACATGTAAAACTGTCAAATTTCTCAATTCAAACATCTGTGCTTACTAAAAATCTTCAGGGAACATCAAAGTTTTCTAGAAAGAAGGCTTTTTATTTTATTTTTTGCAGAACCGGGGATTGAATTTAGATCCTTGCGATTGCCAGTCAAGTGCTTATTCTACTGAGCCATTTCCCTGGCCCCCAAAAGAAGGCTTTTTAAAAGACTAAGATCACTAAAAATACAAAAGCAGCTATCAGACAGCCCCTGGTATATTCACTGAACCGGCATTGCGGCCTCTGAACCAGGACTGACGTCGGCTTCCTGCTGGGAATCGGGCCCGGCCCGGGGCTCCGGGTCCCCTGCACACTCCTCCAGCTCAGTGGAGCCCTGGCTCTCTGGGGAGCCCTGTGGGTCGAGAGTGGCCTCGGGGACCCCAGGGCTCGCTGCAGCGCTGGCCTCCGGGGCTCTGTCTCCGGGCTCCTCCGGCTCTGCCCCCACAGCCTCAGGCTGCACTGCCTCGGCCTCCTCTCCACCCGGTGGAGCAACGGCCTCTTCGGGGACTCGGACTGCGTCCTCGGATTCTGCAGCAACGATGCCCTCTGCTTCCAGGCCCAGGGGCTCCGAGGCTTCTGGGCTCACTGGCTGTGCGCCCTCAGCGTCACCTGGAATAGAGGGTCAGCAGCGAGCACGAGATGTGGTGGACACCACGCTGTCGTGTTCACAAGCTACAGAAATAGAGATCGCAGATCCGCATCTCTGGCAAGACTGAAAAGTGCCTGGCAAGTGCAAGGGCCTGAGTTCAATCACTGGTTCCACACACAAAAAAAGGAAAAAGAAAAAGACCGAAAAGTGGGAGCAGAAGGAAAACTTTGTATCCACAGCCAGGCAGGAGGCACATGCCTGCAATGC